AAAAAAAGTTCAAAGGTACGTGAAAGTTAATTTTTTAATTTTTTTTTATGTTCTGTTATTTTTATTTTCTTTTATTTGGGTATAAAATAGTTAAAATACAATTTTTGTGTAAAATAAATAATGTATGAATTGTGTATGATTCCCTATATGAAATTTCTGTTTAAATAAATAATGTTTTTTTATGTATGATTCACCGTATGAATTGTGTATGATAACTGTATGAATTGTGTATGATTCACTGTATATATAAGATGTCTATGAATTTTTTTATCAAGTTTTTGGGTACTGTTTTTCATTATATTATATATTTTTTCATTATATTATATAATTAGAAAATTATATAGGTTAAAATTTTATGATAACTGTATGAATTTTGTATGATTCACTGTATAAATTTTGTATGATTCACTGTATGAATTTTGTATGATTCACTGTATGATTCACTGTATATATAAAATGTGTATGAATTGTGTATGATTCACTGTATCAATTTTGTATGATTCACTGTATGAATTTTGTATGATTCACTGTATATATAAAATGTGTATGAATTTTTTTTTGCAAGTTTTTGGGTACTGTTTACTAGTAATATTCATAATTAGTTATACTTTATATTTTGATTATGTTTTGTATACTATGTATATGAATTAGTTTTGTATTACATGTGTATGAATATGTGTATGATTAATGTATTTAATTTTTACAATTTTCTTAGGAGAAGAAGACACAAACACATCTGTCTTCATGTATTAACATGAATGTGTTTGCGGATTTGTTGACCTTTTTAGGTCAAGATAAGTTTCAACAATTCCTAGATGAAACACCTTTTGGATTTTTTTATAATTTGCATCACATTAAAATCCAATGTCAATTGTTGAGGCACTTATTTATAATGGGGAATGAAAATGTTAGGGATGACATGTTTGTCATTGAAGTAAATGGTAAAGAGTTAAATTTTGGTGTAAAAGAGTTTGTTGCTATAACTGGTTTGAAATGTGGACCTGATTTTGATTTTGTTTCAGATCCACATGTTCAAAACAGACTCATTGCTGAAAATTTTGGAGATTTTAATAAAGTATCCAAGTCTGATTTTTATTACAAGTTTAAATTGCAAAATTTTTGGGAAGAAGATGATAAACTAAAAATCGGGATCCTGTACTTTATTTCTTTATTTCTGACTACATCAGACCCTTCAAAGACAACAGTTCCAAAATTGTATTTTGATTTGGTAGAGTCTGGACAATATGCCACTTTCCCTTGGGAAAATGAGTGTTTTAATTTAACACTCAAAGCTTGCAATAAAAAATTAAAAAAAATCCATCGTCATTCAAATTCAGTCAGTTCCACATAGCACTGCAGATATGGTTTTATGAGTGTTGTCATCCATTTGACAACAGCATAGCTATACGTGTTTCAAATTGCACACCGAGAATACTGAACTGGAAGACACCGAATGACGTCATTTTTTTGACGATTTGAAAAAAATAATTTTCAGAACTCACGGGAATCAGGTATTTTTCTTATAATGTTATTACATTCAATATAATTCATTATACATTATACATTTTTTTATGCAGCATAAATTCAGAAATATTTTCTTATCGGAAGAAGAGTTAAATCTAATGGACGAGACCATTATAAATCAGTCCAGCAGCCACCAGGATTTAGAAAATCCAAGATCATCGAAAAATCGTGATGTTCACAGTGAACATAAAGTTCAAGAATTGAGAGCTGATACTGCAGAGGTACAAGTAAAATATTCAAATAAACATAATTTTTTTTGAAATTACAGTACACATATCAAATACTTATTTTTTTAATTAACAGGTTAAGACAGAGTTGAAAGAACTCAAAATCACTGTAAATTCCAACATATTTTTATATAATTAATATAATGACTTTATAAACTATTAATGTATAAAGTTTTTATGTTCACCGATAAGGTTCACAAGCACATGGTTGATATAAAGATGTTTGTTGATAACTCCACCAAAATGATAATTGATGAGATTCGATTGTCATGAGGGGAACAAATACCTGAAGAACAACCAGAGGTATATTTATTATTTTATTTTTATTTTCTATTTTTTGGGTACAAAAAAAAGTACATATATGTGTATGAATTGTGTATGATTAACTGTATGAGATGTGTAAGATTCACTGTATGAATTGTGTATGATTCAGTATACTATCACTATATATATAAAATATGTATGAAATGTGTATGCATTGTGTATAAATTTTTTTGTATCAAGTTTTCTGATACTGGTGAATAGTAATATCCATAATTAGTTATACTTTATATTTTGATTTGTATATTGTGTATGAAAGATTGTTGTAAGGTTGTTTGAAATGTGTTTGATTATATTGTATCATGTTTTGTATACTATCTGTATGTATTATGTATTTCTCAATATTATGTTGTAAGTTTATTAGAATTGTGTATGATTCACTGCATTAGTTGTGTATTATATGTGTATGAATACATGTTTCAGGAAAACGTCAACCATCATGCTGCACAATATGATCCGACAGATATGCCTACAGAGACAATTCCACAACAAGTCCAAAGTTCAAACACAGCTGGTACGATATATTCATTTTTATCACATAAATTCAAATTTTAGAATTTTTTTTATTTAACATTTTTTCATGTATATGCAGCTCAAAAATCAACGGATGATTATTTAAATGTTGATGCATATACAACGTCAAAATCAAAACCACCAACATTGGACGATTATCCTGATTTTACCATGACACAAATAATTGCCCTGGATCCGATTCTTAATGCCACCACGACTCCAAATTTGCGAACAAGAAACAAGAATGTGGGTAAATACGACTCTTCTCCTTATATCAGAATGTCCGAAGGAGAAAGCAGTTCAAATAGAGTACCTACATTCTTTCAAATCAAACATCCATTCCAAAATCACAATGGGTTTGATGTACCAGACGAAATGATTTAGGAATTCAATAAATGAATTTTTCAAAGATGTGTCGAGCAGACGTGGCAGGTAATTTGTACGATGATAAAAAATGTTTTAATTAATTTCTAAACTACTAAATTAATATAACACTTTTTTAAACATATACAGAAAAGCAGCTTATTCCAAGATTAAAAACTCATTTCATCCTCAAATGGACTTTGGCGTAGTCAAAATCGGAGAGAAAGATTTTTTCACATAATGAGTCAACCGGGCAGACCTTGGGAGGATGGGATAAGACCTTTTTTTCAACTAAATATTATGTTTTGAGTTGCAGTGATATATGTATGTTTTATGTATGTATATTTTATGTACGAAATATGTGTGAACAGTGAATGAATTAGATATGTATTTTTTTTGATTAAAACAGCATATTAATACAATTGCAGTGATATATGTACTATTGCAGTGATATATGTATGTTTCTGTATGTATATTTTCTGTATGAAATATGTGATATATGTATATTTTTGTATGTATGTTTTATGTATGAAATATGTGTGATATATGTATGTTTTTTGTATGTCTATTTTCTGTATGAAATATGTGTGAACAGTGAATGATCAGATATGTATTTTTTTATTGTTAAAACAACATATTAATACAATAATGTATTATCTCCGAAAGAAGGCAAAGTACTCCCAAAATGTCACTTCTTACAGATTGTTGGTTTATGGCATGGGTTTATAACATTGAGAAACAGTGGAGACAATCACAATGTGACATGAGATGCATATCACCGGACCATGATGTTGGACAATGCATTAGAGGATATAAGCTGCTTGCTAACATTCCGTGGGATAGGGTTGATGAAGTAATCATCCCAGTCAACATCAATGACAAATTCCATTGGTTTCTTGTTGTATTCCGAATCAAAAGTAGATGTCTATATGTATATGATTCGATGATGGGAGGATCTCTTCATTAAAGGAAAGTCAAAGAAGCCGTTGATAAGCTTGCAACCATGATTCCTTTATTTCTGACGAGCACAGAGTATTATGGCAAAAAGCTTGATTTGTATGCGAATAATCTCCCTGATTATCAACAGAAGTCTCACTCTGAACCTCTAAGTATCAAGAATGTTACACATGTTCCTCAACAAGAAGAAAGTTCAAAGTATGTATATTTCTTACATTATTTTTTATTCATTTTAAATTGAAATTGCTAATATTCATTACAATTTTTTTTCAATTTGTTTACAGTGATTGTGGTTTATACACATCTCTATTTGCCGAATACATGAGCAATGGTGTTATTGATATGTCACATACTGATATTGATTCAACATATCATCGTCAAAGATATGCAACATTACTTTGGCATTATGGAAAATCAAAGAATGATGAAGGCGCAATCAGTGAAAGTGAAGTTATAGGAACAGTTGCTAGCAAGAAGGGTGGACCTCGAACTCATAAAGAACAAGTTATGGACACCACCAATTATCCTACTCCAAAATTCCGTATCAGGAAGTAGACATCTTCATGGCACATAGATAATTTATTTGAAAGACTTTTTTTTTAATTTATGAACAATTTATGTATTTTCCCAGTTTTTTTATTATGAATACTTTGATGGTTTTATATAAATTA